TGTAGTGTGGTGTAGTAGTAGGCAATTCTAGGCCCCTTCCCGGCTACAGGATCACTCCAGTGCTTTGGGTACTACGGACCCTCTGCCATCCATTGCAGCAGAGCCGTTTCATGAGCGGGGGGGCTAAGCGCAGTTCTTTGAATCAAACGTTGAATGAAATCGATTCTTTTTTAGATATCAAAATAGAAATCGTCTCGATAGATTCAKCCATCTTTCTATTCATATATCTTACTAAAAAAATGGATTTCTTAAGTAGCGTGAAGCCCCAAATCCTTGATTTGGCCAGGAAAGACTGCACTGCTTTGGGCCCAGGAAGCGAAGGGAATGAGCTCGGCTGCTTCTTCTCCACACTTTTTTTTATCCGTGTCCATTCCGCATGCGCTTCGCGCGCCATTGGCGCWTTGTTCTCCTCTTATTCTTCATTGGACGGTTCGGATGGACTTCGCCGTTCTTTCCCAACTCAAATTGAAAAGGCTGTCTCACATCGAGATGTCGATTCGTTTTCCGCCCCCAATGAGATGGGGAATTAGTAACCCCCTATTTCGACTTTTTGGCCCTTCATCTTTCTGAATCGAGGCCCGGCTCGCGTCGTTCCAACAACCGGCGGGGAGCACCTCAGTATACGATCGCGCGCAGTAACTGGGAGTCCTATTACACCTAAGGCCAACTTCAATTCACCAAACCAAGGTTCATCTCGTGTAGTGATTGTGGACTCGTACAAGGATATTGAGTAGACGGTTGATGTATCAGACTCGACCCTATCTTTCGGAGCATGCATTCCCATCCGTGTCGCAACTGATTCGGTAAGCTACGTGTCCRGTGCACGGAGAACTGCCTTCGGTCTCCCAAACGGACTTACTCGTGGCAACCTTCCGGCCGCCCAACGACCTATAACGCTAGTCACTACTCCCACTGGGGCTAGGAAGTAAGCCYCACAACCCAAAGCGGCGAAAAACAAATAGAATTTGCTACAAAAACCGGCTAACGGGGGTATTCCTGCGTATGAGAACATAGTAATGGAGAAGGTAATAGCCGAAATAGGATTCGTTTTGGCTAGAGCGCCCAAATCCGCTATATATTTTACACGGGTTTGCCGTAATGCTAAAACTATGGCGAATGCATCTATCGTCATTAATACATAAATAAAGATACCAATTAGTAGTGATTGAATTCCTTCTATGGTTCCACATGAGAAACATGTACGAATATAACCTACATGYCCAATTGAACTATGAGCTAGAGGTCTTTTGACTTTCGTTTGGGCCATGGCGGCCAGTGCTCCTAAGATCATAGAAGCAATGCTGCAGAAAAAGAAGATTTGTTGCAATGTAGCTCCATAGGAACCATAAATAGAAACACGTGAAATATTAGCAAAAATAGAGATTTTAGGCGCAATAGAAAGGAATGCTGTAACCGGGGTGGGTGAACCCTCATAGATATCAGGTGCCCACATATATAGAGTCAAAAGAGATATGGAGTCCGAAGGGGAGGGGGTTTTCTTCGGGGCTTGAGAGATGGAATAGATAGGGCCCCACAAGTTTCGAATTCACCGCTGGGGAATTCACACGAAAGGGAACGAGGAATTCTGAACGAAAAAAGTGCTCTCTGAATCGAACGTGAAAGTCGTTTTCCATCAGACGGCTGTTTCCGTAACTCCACTCTCGACTTGGATTATATATCCAAAAAGGTCCGCTCTCGGCCATTCCACACGCTGCCACGCAGAGGCGTGGTTATCTGAAGTGGATTCTCTCTTTTCTAGTGGATGCCGAACCTGCTGCCCCATTGACTAAGAAGGGGGCGGGCGCAGCAGCTACATGGACCCCTTCCTTTCTGTTGTTGCCAGCGCTTTCCCGGGCCAAGCCGGAATTCTTTATGAGAAAGGGCAGGCAAAGCCCGAAGACAGCTATCCTACCTAATAGGCCAGCGGGCGGAACGAGGAGAGGGCCCGGCAATCATACCACCGCGGTCGAAAAAGCGTGTTCCCTTCAGATAACACGCACCGTAGGCCATCCTCGGCCTTCTTCGTTTTTGATGAAAAAGAAATCCAATCTCGATCTCCGAAAGCGTTTTCCTTCCCCTCCCTTYGTCGAGCCTTTCCTTTAATGGTTGGGGGAAGCATTTCCTTATCTGAACTTGGCGGGCATTCTTTCTAGCCTTATTCAAACAAACAAATAGGGGTGGGTTTGGTTTGAACATAGGCTCAAACATGATTTGAAGGTCCTAGCTACGCCATGCGTTCAATACAAAATCTGGAAAGCTGCAGGGATGACAAAAAGAGGGCGCTTTCCTGTCTTGCACTGAAAAAAAAAAGAGGAATAGAATAGACATCCCTTTAGATGTCTATGTATTCTTTATCATCTCCCGATTTTTTTTTATATCGTTATATCTCTCTAAAAAAAATTGAGAAAGAAAGAGCAGATGGATCCTATCCCCTATATCRAACACTAAATCCTATCTATTGATCGAAAGATCTTCGTCAAATACCGGACTTTGCCTTTTTTTTAGGAATTCCTCATATCCAAAGCAGCTTACCACAAGCACCCCACCTCATACGACTAGTTGGGGGGGCTGTTCGCCTTTTGAATCAAACAAAGTAAAAAGTAAGTAGTAGGGGCTTCATAGCGACTTTCATTCTAAAGGAAAGCGAAGAATCCACCTTTMGTCAATAGGAGCCCTACTTCCCTCTTTGCGACCTCATCACTGAAATGAAAGCGCAAAGAAATTGCTTGATGAGTTGCCGGGCGTAGCGCACCGCAGGTTAATCTCTCGTTTTTTGGAGCTTGACTTTACTAAACTAAACTAATAAGGGCTCGCTGCTTGATAGTGACTTCTTTCGTTTGGTAGGATGACGAAAGGCTACTTCAATCTAGGAAACCGCCGGAAACTCGAGAGGGTCGCCTTTGGAAGCGTTCGCCGGTAACCAAAGCGTCACAACATAATAAAAAGGAATGAGTTTAGCTGACTGAATCCAATAATCCATAAACCCGGAAACGAAACAAAGTTCGTTCCCTTTCGTCAAGTAGGTAAAAAAATAGGTRTACGAACCACTTTTGCTTTGCCTTAGACTCGATTGGAACAAAGCTAAGAAAGAAGGAGGCGGAATGGAGAAAGGAAAGGGACAAGGGCGGTCTTGCTTGGCGCGAAGGCTGCTGGTTTGGGGGTAGGGTACGGTACTAAAGGTCCTCGGACTTCCRGGCGGTTTTTCTTTTGGGCAGCTGTTCACCGTTGGATCTCGCCAATACAGCCCCCCATAGTTTTCGTTACCGAGATATCTTTTTTTTCATTGTTCCTAGGGATTTTTTGGGTAATCCGCTCCCATGCTGCAAACAGTCAAATCTGAACTCAACCCTGTCGCTCTTCTTTCTTTCCTCGCGGGCAGGAAGCACACCAGCTGCGTGCCTTGCGTGATTCTACTGTGTTTTTTGCACTTGACTGGGTGGACAGTTGACCGGAAGAGAACTTCGATTCGCCCG